TATTTATAATAAAGACATTACTAAAGTTAAAATAAATGATGAAGATGTAAGTTATCAAATCCAAGATGATATGATTGTTCATTATCCTTGTCCATTACCTGATTTGTATATTTATTTAATTATTGGTTGTTGTGGATTATTTATTTTTATTATTGGTTTAATATTAATTGCAATAATAATGAAATTTGCTATTGTTCCACAACTCCAACGTAAATTAAAGAATGCACATGATATTATGGAAACATCTTCATTATTACAAAAACATAATAGTAATTAATTTTCTTTTTCATATTTTTTTAGGGTTTATTTATCTTTAAATCCAATTAATTTATTGATGGAATTACCTTCAATTATTGATAATTTAAAATTTATGATTCTTCAATTTAATGAAATAAAATCTTATTTAATTTCTTTACATAAACAAAATGTATTTGATAATAATATTTCTTTTGATTTTCTTCATTTAACAAAAAAAATAAATGATGAAAATTTTTATGAAATACGTGAAGAATTTGATAATGCAATAATCGAATTTGATCAATATCGCCATTCAATTTTTATAATTGAAAAACATATTAATGAATGTCTTTATATCACTGAAGATATTCAAAAAGAAATTGAAATTGAAAATAATAAATTAACTGAAATTGGAGAAAAATTAGATCAATATGAAGAAATAATAAATAAAAAATATAAAGAATTAAACAAACCGAGTGAATTACAAATTATCACAAATTCATCTGCTCAAAGTATTAATTCTCATCAAATTAAAATTAAAAAAAAAATTAAAAATCAACAAAGTATTATAAGAAGTGATGGTAATCAAATTAGTAATGATAAAGATAAAGAAGATATTGAATTATTAAATTCAAATAAAAAAATATTACTTCAATGGTGTAAAGGAAAATCATTATCAATTCGTTATGACTCAAAATATGACGGAGAATCCCAAAAAGATTTTACTAAATATATTAAAGGATATGGAAATATTTATGTTATTTTATTTGATCAAAATATGAATGTGTTTGGTTGTTTTATTCATTCTCCAATTTTAATAACAAATAAACCTATTGCAGATATTTTTGGATTTATTTTTGAAATAGCAAAAGAAGGAAATATTCATTTAAAAAAATGTAATAAAAGAAAAGACGTTATTTCTTCAGTTACTCTATTTGAAGATAATTGTAATCAAGCAAGTTCATTACTTTATATCGGTAAAGATCAATCAACTGGAATGTTAATATTAAAGCCTTTTATACAAAATGGTATGATTAAACAAATATATAAATCTTATTCAGTATCTAACTCTCTTGTTTTTAATTCTATTCAACGATTTGAAACTAGAAGAATTATTTTATTAGAAATTGAATTTTAATTTTTTAATTTATTATTACTTTTCTTTTATTCTTTTTTTGTCTTTGATTTTTGTTATACAATTATTTCTCTAAAATCAATAAAATTTTATTTATTATAATTATTTATAATTAAAAATTCTATGGTTTTAATTAGTAAAAATTATTTGTTATTTATTCAGTTTATTATTATTCAATTTATTTATTCAAATTTAAAATTGTTATTTAAATAACATAAAATGTTATAAAATAAACTATAAATAGAATAATTATGACAATAGAAAAAGATGTTATATTTAAATAATTTTGTAAAAAGTATAAAAAAGAACTAAAAAGAACTAAAAAATGGTAAATGAAAATTCAATTATTGTTCCTTATCATTGCCATTGTTATGGCCCATGGACCAAAAGTCACTAACCGAGTCTATTTCGATGTTATAATCGGAGATGAAGAAAAACCAAGCAGAATTGTTATGGATCTTTTTGGTAAAACTGTTCCAAAAACAGTAGAAAACTTTAGAGCTTTATGTACGGGGGAGAAAGGAATGGGAAAATCAGGTAAACCACTTCATTATAAAGGATCAATTTTCCACAGAGTTATTCCAGGATTTATGATTCAAGGAGGTGATTTCACTCGTTTTGATGGAACTGGAGGAGAATCAATTTATGGAGCTAAATTTGCTGACGAAAACTTCAAATTGAGACATACTAAGAAGGGTATTCTTTCTATGGCTAATGCTGGTAAAGATACTAATGGCTCTCAATTCTTTATTACACTTGTTCCAACTTCTTGGTTAGATGGTAGACATGTTGTGTTTGGAGAAGTTTCTGAAGGACTTGATGTTGTTGACAGAATTGCTGCTGTTGGATCACAATCAGGAAAGACATCAAAGAAAGTAACAATTGTCGATTCTGGAGAATTGCCAATGCAAGAATAATTGATTCATTAAAATACTTTATTTATTTTAGTTTTATATAAACTCACAAAGGGGAATAAAAAAAGGGTGTACAAAGAACTAATAAATAACAATAATAGAATGAGTAGACCACCAGCAAAAAATAAGAAAATTTCAATTGCTTTTTGTGGAAATTCTGCTGTTGGAAAGACTGCATTATTTACTCGAATTACTAAAGGAATTTGTTTGGTTTTGTTCTTAT